ACATTAATTATATTTTATCACTTTTTAATCAATTGAGAGGATGACAATGAATTAATAAAATTAAAAAATATATTTTAATTAAAAGTATCCTTTTTGGTGAATGCTTAATTTAAAAATATTTTTTTATGAATAATTAAATGAAAAATATATTTTAAAATTTTATGATGGTTATTGTTAAGTTAACACAATAATTATTTTTAAAAAACATCTAATTTTTTAATCGAGTTTAGATTTGTTTGATAAGTTCATATTAATCCTTATATAAACCAATTATTTTTAAGTTGATGGAACTAACACGTTTATATAAACTAAACTAGATGTTTAAGTCTAATTTTTAAAACAATAATTGAAATAAAATAATATTTACAAATTAAAAAGAAGTTTTTTTACCTTAAAAAAATTGAAAAGCACAATAAATTGTGTATTTTCATATTATCTAATAAAATAAAATATTAAGTATGATTAAAGAGAAATAAATTTCTCAAGAGAAAAATAAATAAATTTGATAAATAAATTATTATTCAAATTAGTCCAATTTTTTTTAAAAGATTCAATTAAAAAAATTATTATTTAAATTTCTTTTATAGCATTATGTTTCTCATTTTTTAATACATTATGATATATTATCTATTTTAAATTATATAATATGTATTATTTTAAAAAATAAAATAATTTTATTGGAAGGGTCATGACTTTTTATTTCTTATTATTAATTTTTTTATCATTATAAAAATAATATAATATATTTTTATATTTGCTTTCTTTTTTTAAAAAATATATTCTTAAATTTTTTAAAAATTTACATTTAGCGACCGATTTTTATTTGGTTGCTACCATTATTATAAATAATATTTTTGTATTATTTTTAGCGATCGAAATTTTTTCGTCGCTAATTTAGCAACCGAAACCAATTCGGTCGCAAATTTACATACAATTTGGTCGTTATTGGGTCGCTAAAGGATATGTAATTTAAAAACTGAATAGCGACAAAAATAGCGACTAAAAATTGCTACTAAAAATATTAGGTCGCTAGATAAAAACTGCAACTAATTATGTCGCTATTAGCGACAAAAAAAAATCGGTCGCTAAATTGACTTTTTTTTGTAGTGACCTCTAATTTAACACCCTGGTTTTCATACTTTTTATTGAGGGTAATTTAGTAATTTTCATAAAATTCATTTAGGGTGTTTTAGTAGCCTAGAATGGGCCATTCTCAAATTGGAATGGGTCGTTCCAAGCTATTAAAAAGTTTGATATTTAGTAGTCAAGAACGGGTCGTTCCCAAAATGGAACGGGCCGTTCCAAACTATTAAAATGGCCTATAACCTTAGTTGAGAACGGGTCGTTCCAAATATGGCCGTTGTGTGTTAAAACGCAAAGTCAGAACAAACCGTTCTGGTTTTAGAACAGGTCGTTCCAGATGCCAAGTTTACACATGCTGCAAGGATCCAGAATGGACATTCTGGATTCGAAACGGGCCGTTCTGTCCACTCGAGAAACCTCGCTCGGGAGTGTGGAAATAATTGTTGGGTAATAGGATTGACCCCCAATCCCTTGCCTGATGCATGTTTCTAGGAACTAGCAAAATATGAATGTTTTCTGTTTTGTCTTCTGATTGTTCTGTTATGTTCCATGTCGGATGTAATGTGTAAAAATATAATTAATTTTGAGAATAAATATGTTTTGATATGAATTATAGTGCTCTATGAGTTCCTAAAAGAACCCTATGAGAAACAGGCAAGATATGAATATTTTTTGTTTTGCTTTCTGAATGTTCTGTTGTGTTCCTTGTGTGATGTAGAGTGTGAATATGTATTTAATTTCAAAATTAAATAAGTTTTGATATGAATTAGAGTGCTCTGTGGGTTCCTATGCGAAACCCTATGAGAAACAATTATGAGTATGACTATGTGAAATATGAACAAATGACACGAGGCATGATGTGAATGGGAATGTGCTAATGTGAACACTATGATTATGAGAATGTGAAATGTGATGAAATGAGATAAGCTATGACTATGAGAATGTGAAATGTGATGAAATGAGATAAGACATGAAATTCCATGATAAGTGAAATGTTGAGTCAATGAAGTCGTGAATGTGTGACATGCATCATGTACATATATGATTTATTCCAGGTGTGCTGCTTAGGCCGCATACCAGTGATGTAACAAGCTATGTGATGAAATGATTTATTCCAGGTGTGCCACTTAGGTCGCATATCAATGATGTAACAAGCTATGTGATGAAATGACTTATTCCAGGTGTGCCGCTTAGGCCGCATACTAGTGATGTAACAAGCTATGTGATGAAATGACTTATTCCAGGTGTGCCGGTTATGCCGCATACCAGTGATATAACAAGCTATTTTAGGTGTACCTTGGGTAACTAGTGAAGAAATGATGAGAAATGTGAAACTTCCATATGGCGCCACATGCATGCATTTATGAGTCGAGTCTATGACATCATTGCATGATAAATGAGTGTGCATGTGATACTGATTATGTATGTGTAATGTTTATATGTGATTGGTGCTTGTGACTTATATTTGTTGTATGTGTGTGCTATCTAACTGTTATTTCTACACTTGGAACCGAGTGAGATGTTTCTCACTCCCTTGTTGTTCTTTGTATGTGTTTAAAATTATGTTGCAGGTGATCATCAGTATGAAGGTGTTGGTGACGAGGCTTAAGCTTTAGTTGGGTATGCTCTGATAGGATATGTGACATCGAGGCATAGCTAGATTTAGCTTAGGATTTTCTTATTGTTATTTTGTTTTGGAAAATATTCATTTTGCTACAAATTCCGCATTTGACCATGTTTGAAGTTTATGAATGTGAATTCTCTACTCTTATGTTAATGGATTTATTGCTTTATTTATAAAGATTTTATTTAAACCAATAATATATTTTTACAATTGTTGTATATGTATGTTGGGGAGAGGGTGTCACATCTGACGATGTCCCCCTCGACCCTGTCATTGGCTCCACTAGCATAACCCTTGCCTTCGTCGAGGACACACTTCTTCTCAAAGACTCCCTCCTTTGACAAGGTTGGGGCGAATGGTTCGACAAGAAAAACGTGTTCCTCTGAAAGGATAGAATGTTTAAATCCAACTTTGACACCCTCAACAACCCCTTGATCCAAGATTTCGACGTTGTTGCTGCCACCACCGGACTCAACAGAGCCGATAGAATCGTCCATAATTAATTGGTGGATCCACCACTTCAAGAAAGTCTCGTTCCCTACTAAGAAGGTTCCTCTTAACCTCAATGTATTACCCTCTCTAGCCAATTTAGGAACAAAACGTAGAACTTTGAATCACAATACAATTAACAACCATAATCATGACCTCATTAAGGAAAATATGAATTTTGGTAGTAGTAGTGGTAGCAACAACAGTAGCAATAGTGGTGAATTAAGTAGTAAGAAAAATGTTAGGGTTGTGTCTATTAAGAATCATATATATGCTGATGGAGATACCTGGGGGTACTATCCTGGTGTGTCATTGTGTTTGTTGTTCAACAACTTCATGGATGAGTTTTTCAAGGTGGGGAAATGCATGATCAGGGTGTTTATGGTGTGGAATTCACCACCTTGGATGTTCACGGTTCGGCATCAGCCTGGTCTTGAGAGTTTGCTCTTTCATCACCCTGATGCTTGTATTGTAGGTGTAGTTAGGGTTCTCAAAAATAAAAATATAATTTTTTTAGTAAAAAAATTAGGAACTAAATTAAATTATACAAATACAAAAATGATGATGTGGTTGAAAATTGATGATGTGAAAAAAAGTCAAACAACAGTTCCAAAACTCTTCCAAAATGTGTAGTACCATAGAAATTCTCAACCGCTAAGCTTTCAACATAAGAAATGTCCAAAATTAAAAGGAGCGGCAGATGACGCCGATGAGAGTGTCCAAGAAGTAAGGGGAGGGATTGAGCCAAGGGTGGGGGGAATGGGTTTCATCCATGAAGTTGAGCTTGTTGAGGGGGTTGATGGCGGCATCGACGGTAGAGAGGAGGGACGATGCACAAGTAAGAGCCATAAGCAAAACAACGCCACGATCCTCAGACAAAATCGCACTGAAGCTCTAACATGAAGATAGGGTTGCTACTGTATACTTATAAAAACATTAATAAAATCTTTAAAATAAATAATATGAAAAATTTTAAATAACAAATAATTTATTTAAAAGGATGACATAACATTTAAATAATGTGTATATTCACATCAGATACAATACCAAAACCTCTCATTTATTAAGGACACAGTAGCAACTCCTTAGCAGTTTTATTTATAAATTCTTTTTGTTTAAAAATAAGTGATTAATAAAATATACCCATTTTTTTTAATAGGTATAGATATTATCTAAAAGATAAATAATTGTTTACACTCGTCATTACTATAAAGACTGTTTCGCTTGAATAACATCACGCATATGATATAGATTACAAACACTATAAAAATATGACATATGATATATTTTTCTTTAACAAATAAATTATACATTCTAAATCACTATCATTCATTTTACTTCTTTTTCATCCTCTCACTCCCAACTTTTACACACCCAAAAGTATACATTACGTAATTTTTTAACTAAATTTGTAAAAGGAAAAACGATATGAAAAATCATTTAATTGTACCTAAAATGACTCGGACAATCATAAACAGTGCAAAATGTTTGAAGAGCTGTCATGGCCAGGAGCACAAAGGTGGCAAGAAGTGTCAAGAGCTTCCATGAAGAGTACACATAATTGGTTAAGATCCCGTACGGCTTACCCTTCTGCTTATCATGGACGTACTTGTTGACTTTCTTAATAGTTTCATCCAATTTCTCAGTCTTGGTGGGTCCGATGGATTTGCTCATTCCATTGAACAGTTCCTCACTTTCTTCCACGCTGAGAGAACTACTTGATTCTATGATCCCTGCATTCTTGAGAAGCTTCACATCGTCCACAGTGTCTATAATTCCACGCATCAATTCTGTGTACCTTGTGAAGATGAGAAAGTCTGGTTTGGTCAAGGCCTCGTGAGCCACAAGGTTTCTCATTATCACTTCGGAGTTCACATCCAATTTAAGCACTGGGAGGTAAAATATGCCCTTTTTCTCGTCGAATTCAATGGCCATGATGCCACCTTTCGAGGGCTGAAAATGGATCCCAACTGAGTAAAGCTCACGCACAGAAGGGATGGTGACAACCACAGGAGCTTCTGTTTCAGAAGGCAGCGTTGTTTCTGATGAAAATTTTTGAAAATTTGACATGTTGAGTATTGCATCTAGGGTTCTTCTAATGGGTTGAGGAAGAGGAACATTCATGTCCTTTAGCCTTTTGAGAGTGCCAAGTGTCAATCTTAATATACCTTTAACTTTCTTCAAGAAAATGACAATCTCTTCAGGTTTCGAGCTTCTTATAGCAGTGTTAGAGAAATTACTATGTGGCTTGCACATATCTTCGGTTTGATCAGGTATTGATGTTTCAGAGTTTTCATTCTGAGGGACTACCAAATGGTACATGAGATCCAATATATGGTAATGCTTTGTGACAGCCTCAGAGCATGTGGGGGTGTGAGTTAACTTGAGTGGAGAGTGTTCAGCACAGAATGACAAGAGCATTGAACCCAAGTGTTCTTGAACTGAATCAACAGGTTTGGAGCTTTCAAGCACCAAGATCCTCAGCAACATGTAGGTTGGAATTTGGTTCTCCACCATTATCATGTCCCTTATGATGGCATCTTTGGTTAGCTTCACACCACTTATCTGAACTTGTTCTTCTAGTCCTGTCATGGAAGAACTAGATACTTTCTCATCCAGATAATTGTGGTAGAAATCCAATAAGAACAAACCATCAAGAGCCATGGTGTATAACAAGGTATCTTCCTTGAGGTCCAAGTATTTGTGGTAACAAGCACGGATGAAGGGTCCCGTGTTGCGAAGTTGCTCAACTAGGGTTTTGAGGTCATGTTTGTTGAAGTGGTCGAGGACCCTTTTGGCAGCAAAAATCTTGAACCTTTCCATGGGATAGAGATCAGGGCGAAAGTGGTTGTATGGACCAATGGCTATAAGTTGTGGGGCAAAGGCTTCTGGTTTTCCACAACTCAAAGATTTTGGGACTTGGTATATGCAAACAGGCATTTTGTTCAAGATTGAGAGGTTGGTTTCACTCACCAACTGATTCATTTGGACGACCCAAGTGTCTTCATCGGATTCTGAGTTGAAGATTGTTAGAGAGGCCATCTGGGATTTTGCTTGCTAATATTTTTTTTTCTGGGATTTTGCTTGCTAATATGCTATTCTGTGTAGTATATGCTAGTTTGTCCCCAATAGGTTGTTGGGTTATATTGACACCACGAATGTGTTTTATTTATAGGAAGGTGGTAATTGATTAAAAATTTTGAATGATTGCTACAGTCACGGACATCAGTTAAATGTGCATGAATTCGTATTATTGTTTTTGGTTGGTGTGAATGTGAATGAGAAACCACATCACATCGAAATACATATATTTCTTGTATTCTAAACCCTAAAAAAATATATACACATATGTGATGTTTTAAGATTTTAAATTAAGATGTAGCATGAATTAAATTTGATTATAGTTTGTTTTTAATTTATGAATTTTTTTAGGGTTATTGGGGTATTATTTTAACGAATATGTTTTTCATATCGATAATCATATGATGTTTTAAAATTTTTAAGATTAAGATGTGGTGTTATTATTAAATATTGTAATTGCTCACGATTCATGAATGATAATGAAAGTGATTTCCACTCTAAAGTACATGTGTCAACTATGATTGCATAGCAGCCGTCCCTGTGCCAATGAACTAATGACTGGTGGTAAACATTACAGTTTTTTTCCATTCCACCTTAATTAGTTTATTATATAAGAAATGTATGCGACAAAGTCTAGGTTGATCCATATTAAAATTAACTGAAAGTTTAAATTTTAAGGTCTTATATTTTTTCATTATTTTTGTTGTATACAAATATACTAATTTGAGCTTAACAAACCATACAAAAAAAAAATTAAAACAAATTTTCAAAAATAGAAAATACATTTTTTAAACCAAACAAATTCTTTAGTATAATTTTTGTTTTAGATTTCAGATTCTATTTTCTTTCCGTCCCACTCCCATCGAATGTATATGTTATATGAAGTATTTTAACATAAAATGAAAATTACCGAAATTATAAGCCTTTTTTGTTTTTGTAATAATATCAGTTAGGTTTTTGAAATATTAATCATTTTTTTGGATTAATTTTATATTAATAATTGATGAACAAAAACTTCCAATAAACATATACGATATTAAGGAGCATGAGGATTGAGCTGCACTCAAGATTTTCTGGTAAATAATGCTGCAATTATCAATATTAGTATGTAATTAATTATTATGTAGATTTTTCTTCCAAAAACATTTTATGATTCGAATTTCATGAATTGGCCTAAAGATTAAGGAAAATTATAATCGAAGAATAGGACGTCTACCTAATACCAAAATTGTAGGAACTAAGAAATCACCACATATATATGGTGGAAGACCAAATTTAAAGTGACCGGTAAATATTGGCAACTAGTAATTCCACATTATGACTAATCTTAAAGGCGATCGACTAACGTGTGTATATATATTATCACATTACTTTAGAGGAATGGTATCATGTTGACAACTAAAATCGAATTATAAAATAGAGAAGATGTTAAAAACACATTATCACATGAGAGTGAGATATATGGATGAAGACTTAAAAATTAAAATTGAGTGACACGTAAAATATCTTCATCATTTAATATACTTTTTTGAGTAATGGGCATGAATGCTTTATATTGTATGAATATAGAATACTTATTTTACAATGTAGTCATGCTCGATTAGCCTCCAGACTATTGTCGAGTGACCATCTGACCAAGTCAACAGATGAGACTATTTTATCATTTTTTTTTTGTACAAGGGATATACATATTAAAGTTCAGAATCAGTAAGCTAGTACAATTGGTTACTATATCTATTCTTGAATTAAGACTAGCTAGTTGTTATATTAATCTCTTTTAAAAAAATGTTAAATAAATTTTAAAAATACAAATTGATATATTTGATTGAATGACCTCAAAGAAAGGTCAACAATAAATTTTTATAAAGGCAGAAGACTTCAAGCTTTAAAGAGGATTCAAGAAAGACAAGCGTTGTATTAAAAACAGTCATTAATCTGTAAATTAAAAAAAATTATATTATGTAAGACTTTAATCTTGGCCTTAGTTACCTCATTAGGGTAACTAGAAAATCGTCAAATCAACCTAAAAACTAAAGTTAAGAGATTTAAAATGTACATTATTTTTTCTTTTTAATCATCAAACAGAAATTATATAAATTGAGATAGTACAAGGAATATATAAACCTTTTACAAGTCATGCATTGAGAAGCACACGAGCTCATATGATGTAGACGCACTAGTACAAAAGAGGTGTATTACGTCGGATATTTTTAGCTTTTTACGTCAGAAAATGTACCGACGTAGAAGCGGGAGACGTAAATTTTACGTCGGATCTTCAAAACCGACGTAAATTTACGTCGGACATTAAGACAATCGACGTAAAAAAGTAGGAAAAAAAATTAAAAAAAAAACATAAAAATGCCAGCAGAACGGCCCGTTCTGCAAGCAGAACGGCCCGTTCTCCAAGCAGAATGCCCCGTTCTGCTTGTAGAACAGGCCGTTCTGCTTGCAGAACAAGCCATTCAGCTTCGTATAACAACCCAAAAGAAAACGCCCACTACCTACACAAATAGAACAACCAAAAAATCAAATAAAACAGATAGCCAGAGTAGCAATGCGAAGTAGAAAAGTGCTAACAAAACCTTGATTCATACCTAAGAAGCGAAGTAGAAAAGTGCTAACGAAACCTTGATTCATACCTGAGGAGCAGCAACAATGTGCAAATGAGTAACAAAGAGTTCATCCCTCTGCAAAAGACAAAAAAACGATTCAGTAACAAAGGAGAGGGAGAGGGTTTAGAGAGAAAAAAATAAAAAGTGATGAAGAGTGAATGGGCGCGGTGTGCCTCGCGCTATCTTATTCAAATTTGCGTTCTTTTTTACGTCGGACCTGGTATGGTCCGTCCAATCTACGTCGGACGCAACACACCTCCGACGTAGATTGGACTTTTTACGTCGGACCCTACCAGGTCCGACGTAAAAAAGTTCGCAAAAATTACAAAAATGCCACCGCGTTTTTTTTACGTCGGATTTTCGTATTTCTGACGTAAAAGGGGTGACGTAATATGCTAATTTTCCACTATTAAACCCTATTTAAACTCCTAAGATAATAAATAGTACCTAACCATTCAAATTGTCATTCCTACCACTATAGCACTAACATTTACAACTTCAATATCTATAATGCCTTCAATCATATAATTGTTAGGCCAATGTGAGAATCTCCCTTATTAGTACCACCCTCTTATGTTGATAATGTTAAATTTCCTCTACATCTTAAAACCAGAATGGCCACCACATTTTATGATACCCAAACAAATTGTATATATATTGTAAATACTGTAGCCTTTTGTAAGGATCACTGGGCCTATTACACTGATTCCCTCTGATGAGTCCACTACAATTGCATCATCACAGTTGGGCCACTCCACCGATTTTGAGGCTGTGATTGGAAGGACTAGTAAAAGGCAGCCTCAGCTATTTCAACACTTTAAGGATTACGTGGTGACTCTACCTCATGCTCGTGGGAAAGGGAAATCCGTCAGGAATGATTAGGGAATCACAAGTTTGTTATGACTTTTTCTGTTTTTCCTTTTCCTTTTATTTTAATTGCCTTGTTATTGTTAGGCGGTTGTAAGAAAGTGCATATATAGCATATTTTGGTGCAGTATAGAGGCAGAAAAGTATTTAGTTGATTATTCTCTCTTTGATTATTCTTCTCTCTCTCTCTGCTCACCTTTCCATGCTCAAACTCTCGCGCAAAGACGGAGAAATAAAATTCAGGGTTTGTTTCTGCCAGATGGGTCTTGGCACACGGACCCTGAGGTAATGAAAACTGAAGCAGTCAGGTTCTACAAGGAGCTTTTCTCGGTTAACAACGACCAAGGGTTTCTAGACATGCAAGCTGGGGTTCCACCTGGCCTGGGGGTTGAAGCCCAATCTGCCTTAACGGCCCCAGTCACAAAGGAGGAGGTTCGTTGGGCGGTGATGAGCATGAAATCGTTCAAGGCACCAGGGACGGATGGCTTTCAACCGTTCTTTTTCAAGCAGTATTGGCCTATTGTGGGAGATGAACTATGGCGTACAGTGAGGGATGCCTTTCGTTTGGGGTTCTCGGACAGTTCACTCTTAGAGACACAGATGGTGTTAATTCCGAAGGTGGACCACCCAGTTAGCCTCAAAGAATTTCGCCCAATCAGTTTATGCAATGTTGCTTGGAAGGTTATTTCTAAAGTACTTGTGGCTCGTCTTAGACCCTTCCTGCAAGGCATCATTGGTCCTTTCCAGGGCAGCTTTATTCCCGGGAGGGGGACGCGTGACCATAGTATTATTGCTCAAGAAGCCTTCCATTTCGTACGGAAGGAGGGCTCAAGTGTGGGCTCTTTGGCTCTAAAAATTGACCTTGAGAAGGCATATGATAGGGTTGGGTGGGATTTTTTGGAGGCTACGCTGGTGCAGTTCGGGTTTCCGTCAATCACAATCCAACTTATCATGTGGGGATTGAAGAATTCGTCCATATCACTCCTCTGGAATGGCAACAAGTTACCGTCCTTTGTTCCGTCCCGTGGCCTTCGGCAGGGAGACCCTTTATCCCCATATCTGTTTGTTTTCTGCATGGAGCGACTAGCCCTTAGGATCTCTGAGTTGCTCCAGGAGGGTCGCTGGAAACCGCTTAAGCTCTCCCCTGGGGCGTTCCCGCTTTCACATCTTTTCTTTGCTGATGATATTTTACTGTTCTGTCAAGCTTCAGAGGATCAAGCCCGCTTGGTGGCGTCAACTTTGGAGGAGTTTTCGCGATCATCAGGATTGAGGGTCAATTTATCTAAGTCTAAGTTTGTGAGCTCAAGAAGGGTTTCACAAAGGAGGATCGACATACTGGAGGGTTGGCTTGGGATCGGCCACACGTCTCAAATAGGGAAGTATTTGGGGGTTCCCATGACTCATGGTCAGCCGAGGTGCGCCGATTTTTATGATGTTATGGATAAGATTCAGGGTAGACTTGCGGCTTGGAAGTCCAAGCTTCTCAATAAGGCAGGGAAGTTGTGTCTGGTGAAGTCCACCATCTCCTTTATTCCAGTTTATAGCATGCAAACACTGTGGCTTC